ACATACATACATACATACATACATACATACATAAAATAAAATTCTGTCTTTAAAACTCCCAACTTTTCAGACCTGTGATACAGCTCAGTGGCATAAAAGCCTTCCTGGAAAGTACAAGATCCTGAGTTTGATCCCCAGTACCAAAAAAAAAAACAAAAGCAAATGCAAACCCCTCAGACTTTCCTGATGCCACAGGTAAGCTGGTGGCCCTCAGCTTTTGGGCTGCACCACAGTTTGTTCATCCTGGTGCTATACATGTTCTTTCCCCCTCCCCAGCTCTTAGCCTTTTCTGTGGAAATAACTAATCGGTTTTTTGTTTGTTTGTTTTTGGAAATAACTAATTGTATAGATACTTCCCCACCATTAGAAACTCTCCTAGGCATTTCAGGGACTACATCTTTTCTGAAGAAATTTTAAGACTGGTTCAAAAAATATGACAAGCTGGGGAGATAGCTCAGCGATCTAAGTGCCTGCCTTGCAAGCACAAGGAGCTGAGTTCTATCCTCAGTTCCATATACCTTGCCGGTCCCAGAACCCGGGCACTCCATGCCGGCCACCAAAAACAGGTGTGGGGGTGCATGCCTGTAATCCCAGCACTGAGGTTGCTGAGATAGGAGGATCAATTACAAGTGCGAGCTGTGTAGCAAGACTCTACCAAATAAATAAATAAATAATATTTTCTAAAAATTACAAAACAAAATTTGACAACTTTCATTTTGGAACAGGAGCATGTGTTCTATTAACTTTAATAGTTTCTATCCAGTAGGACTGTGTTTATGTGTTTGGCTACTTATAACTGAACACTGATTTCAACCTGCAGTGAAGTCATGGAGATGCGCATTATCTCACTGAACTGGAAACCTGGTGGGAGGTCAGTTTAGGTGTCAAGGACCCAACTGCATCCCACAGTCCCGTGCTATTGTCCTTATGTCACCTTTTATTTTCATGCCTGTAAACTCACTGCTTTGTCTGTGTAGTGGCTGCCGCAGCACTGGACATCACATCTTTCCCCTGTGCTTAAGCATAAGAATCAAGTGTGTGGTGAAAGATCCTCTTCTCTCAGAGATCTCAGTCTATTTGAGGGAGGAAGCATTTTTCTAGCGCTTTCCACACAGCTCTATGGCCAAATCCCGATTACACAGCCACTTGTACTTGCAAGGCAAGTTATGAAAGTAACTCTTTTTAAAGCCTTTAGTTGAACTCATTCTCCTCTTTCCTGTGAATTAAATCATACCTTCTATCTCCACTGTTGGCATCAGAATATCTCACTTGAACTCTTAAAACAGCTTAGGTCTCCCCACAATGCCATGGTCCTCTCTGTCACCTACTCTATCAGCCACATTACTATTTAAATGCAAATCTCAGCTTGAGGCTCCTCTTCAGCAGTTCTGCCTGAGGATCTGGTTACATCCAGTTTTGCAGCCTCATCCCCTACAGCACCCAGGTCTCACTAGCCTGTGCAGGGCACCTTGGAAAGTTCCTGCACACCCCAGGACCCTTGCACATGCTGGTCCTTCTGAATTCTCACCTGTTCCTGACAGGAACATTCTAAGGGACTGACTATAAATGGGAGACATAAGAGAATCAGGTTTGTATTTCAGCAAGAAAATGTTATCCTCTTTATTAAAATTGTACTAGACAAGGAGCCATCTGGTACTAATTTTCTTTTTCTAAGTATCTTCACTTATTCACTCCTCTGGCCACCCAGCTCCATAGCCTCCTGATGGTGATCACATTGCAGACGAGGTCTTTCTGTGATTCAGTTTCTTCCTCTGAAAGTGATGCTTTATGCTGAATTTTCCTGTCTTCCTTTTAGAGCTGGTGGCTTGTCTTTCTTCAGTGTCCCAGTGCTGGTATTAAACATTTACACTTTCAAACATATCCCGGGATATACAGGAAAATGTATCCATAGCAAATATACTCTGCCTTGCATGTCATAAAAATACAAAGAAATAGTTTTCTTTCACAAATTGAAGTACTCTATAAAACTTTCTTTCTACAACCTATATTACAAACTCTTGTTTCTTGTTTTTGTTTTGGGGTCCTAGGGATTGAACTCACAGCCTAAGAATACTCTCAAGTATTCTGTCATGGAGGTGCCCCACCATATCCCACTGTAAATCCTTTTAAAATTTTATTTTGAGAGGGGCTTCCTAAATTGCCCAGGCTGGCCTGGAACTTGCAGTCCTCCTGCCTGAGCATCGAAAGGCACAGGGATTACGTTCAAGGCCTCTGTACCCAAATTTCACTGCCTTCATACTTCAGTAGATAGGTGCAGTCCAGCCTGAGGCTTGCATGTAGATGAGCTCAAGAGCATCCTAATCATTTCCTGAAAAAGAACAGCATCCTGCAAGGTGAGACAGGCTGTGTATATGTCTTCCCTGGCAAAGCCTGCCCTGTGCCCATAGCTTTAGTTCACACTAACACAACCTGCTGATATGGGACCAGGAGTAGCCTAAGAATGACACTATCGACTGGCTCACTCCTTGTGGCAGCCTGGGACCATATTTATGCTCTTCTAATGTGTGCGTTGGTGCAAGGGGGAGTGTTTCTTGGATTTCCAGACCTGGAAAAAGGATCTTCTATCATTTAAGAGGGCCAGGCCAGCAGGCTGTGGCTTAATGTTTTGGCTAAGCCAGTGGAAGCCGAAGTCAACACTTGGATGGACAATCCTGACCCTGCTCTGACCACTGCCGCCACCACCACCACCACCACCACCATGAGAACTGTTTTAACTTTCACTTGCTGGGGTTTAGTCACCCTCAAGTGAGGACAAAAGCAGTACCTACTTGATAGGGTTGGTGTGAGGCCTCAGTGAGTTCATATACAGAAAGTGCTTGGCTAGGTACAGCGCCTGGCTGGCAACAGCGAGTCGTTTAAAATTGTTACAGCCTTTTAACTAAGTGTGCCTGAAATTCTCAAACATTTGCCTGAGGGTGAATCAGCTCCTGTGAGTTACAAAACAAGCGATTCCCAGGACCCAGAGACTGGAGGAAAAGAATTCGGGGTGCTGACGGGGGGGGGGGTGCTTCTGCAACGACCTTTGCTCAGGGGCCGCCCCTACAGCCACGGTCTCTCGGTCTTTGAAGTCTTCGAGGTTGCTTCCCAGGGACTCTGTCCCGCAAGCCGCGCGGCACTGCTTTGCCCCAATCAGACGCCTAGAGGCTGGCGCCACGTCTGTGGCCGGATCCAATCTCTTACCGGGAGGGCGGGGACCCGATTTGCCTACCTGCACCTGTGGCGGCTGGGGCCGTCTCCTGGGTCACCTCACCCACCTCCTACATACGCACCCTTCTGCCGCTAGGTTCTCATTTCTCCAATCACTTGGCGCAGGGCCAGCAGGTGGGCAGATGTCTTTGCTCGCTCCTGCGGACGCGTAGGAAGGCGCAGTGCGCCCAAGTGAGCGGCCATGGTCCCACCTCTCGCCAGCTCCCAGAGGCGCTGGCAGGGCAGAAGGACGCTCCCGAGAACCGGGGAGAAAGGCCACCTGGACTTTTCCAGGGACAGAGAATCTGACAGTTTCTCGGACTAGCCCACCTCGCGGTGAGGCCGGGGCTGTGTCCATAGTGCGCAGAAGCTGCAGGTGCCAAGGGAGAGCAGCGCTCGGTGGAGCGGTTCTGCGGACATTCCGACAGGTACACTTTCCAGAAGCCTGCTCTCTCCAAGCCCGCTCCGAGGGACTGCGCCCAGGCTTCAGGTTGCCGGGAGCGCGGCCCCCGCGGTGCTCTCGGCCGCTAGTGCAGTGCGGGGCCTCAGCGCTCCGGAAGCCCAAGCAGGTGAGCGATCGGGGTGGTTCTGCGTCGTCTGCCGAGACAGAGCCTTCCAGTGCAGCATCACCCTCCGCTGATGCCCGGCGCCTCCCAAACCCCCGCCTTCTAGCTCGAGAGGACAATCCCTGAGCTGCGGGCGCTTCAGAACTGCGCGCTGCCTAGTTCTGCGTAAGTTGCGATCTTCTTGCGCAATTTGCACGAAAGTTTGGTGCATACGAATTTAATAGCTTTAAAAAAGAAAATACGGGGTAAAGGTCAGAAAGTAGCATCCAGACAGCCCCCCACCACCTTTAGTTAATACCTTGAGGGTACTTTTCCAATTTGCAAAGTAGGACGGAGTAGGGTGTTTACAAACCTTTCTGTCCCATTGTGCCTGAGGGTGTGGGTGCCTTTTATACAGAAAGAACTTTTGGCTGCTTTTTCTTTTATTGTTCTCAAATCCAAGCCCCGGGGTCCCTCCGGGTATCTCGGGGAGGAACTGGTGCCACAGTTTCGGGGCGCAGCCAAGGACGCCTCGGGTAGTCTCTGGGACTTCCTCTCTGCGGAGTTCCGGGAGGAGAACAAACAGAGCCGAACTTTCGGTCTTCTGCGCATTTGCGAGTCCCCGGAGTTCTGCGCACGTGGGTGGGAAGGAGCGGAGCAGAATCCGGGAAATGAGCAGCGGCGTGGGCGAATCCTACGCACTGGCAGGAATAATGCGCAGTAAAGAGTGCGCGGAAAGTGGCCCGAGTAGTCTCGCATTCGTGTTAGGATCTAAGCACGAATAAGCTGCCTGTTTGCTCTGCGAAGGGGTGATAAAAGCTTGGAGAAGCTGTTTTGGAGGTCCTTATCGCGCTCTCCCGTTTGGAGTATGGGATTGCTCAAGGAATAGAACAGAAGTCTTTAATATGTGCAATTCTCAAGAGTTGAGTTGCGTGGTATAAACAGATTCGGAGCATATTTTAATCTTAACCTAAGGAAAGGGGAGGAAAGCTTGCTGCTTGGGCTGGGCTCTGAGGAGGAAGACAAAGAGCGGGATGGCGATTTTCTAGGGAAGTGAAGTCTAGACATGCTTCTCTGAAAGTCACAAGCAAAAAGACAATTTGAAAGAAGCAAAGCCAAAAGCATGAGCTTGTCTCTTCTTACCTGACTATAAATTCCCCGAACAATGGGAGAGTACAGGGGGAAAACCCCTGCGGGAAAGTTGTATCTGTTTGTGGTTTAACTAACATTAGCTGTTCACCTGTTGCCAAGCTAGCCCTGGTTGTCAACACCCTCTCAGGGGCTCCGCTGAAGGGAGCTTTTCAAGGATAGGTGGGTCACCTATGGGCGTCCGTCTGGTCCCACAACGTGGACAGGCCGTTTCTCCCCCCGGAGCCGGGTCCGTCCGGCACCATTCGAGTGCTTGCCTGCGCTTCTCGCTAGAGGCTCCTGGCTTAGATTTGAGATCAGGTGATGGTACCCTGGTGGCCAGTAAAGCAACTGCACCCTGTGGGCACGGCGGCGCCTCCTGGGCTGAGGGGCAGGGATGTTGGGGCGCTGTGACCTGGGCCATCTGGTGCCAAGCCAAGAACGAGGGAGGGAATGAGGTTAGGGCGCGTTCCTTCAACCTGGTAACAAAGGTTTTTTGCCCTCCCCCCCCCCCCTCAGTACAAGGATCTGCCTCTGCCCGCAGCCCGCAGCCCGCGCGGGAGAAGCTGGTGAGGTAGTGCAGTGAGCTGCGGGAGACCACGGGAAAAAGGGACGGCCGAAGCCCATACCCACGCGGAGCGCCAGGGCCCCGGCCTGGCCATGGCCGACAGCAGTGGCGCTGGCACCTCGGGCCCCTGGTGGAAATCGCTAACCAACAGCAAAAAGAAAAGCAAGGATGGCCCGGTAGGAGCCCAGCCTTCGGCCCAGCCTGCCCCCGGCGAGCCCGCGCCTCCCAGCCCAGACTGGACCAGCAGCTCCCGAGAAAACCAGCATCCCAATGTCCTCGGGGGTGCCGGCGAGTCTCCCAAGTTAGACAAGTGTGGAGAGAAATCAGGCAACAGCCGCCGCAATCTGAAGATCTCGCGTTCTGGCCGCTTTAAGGAGAAGAGGAAAGTGCGTGCCACGTTGCTCCCGGAGGGAGACAGGTCCCCCGAGGAGGCGGATTTCCCTGGTGACTCCTATGAGAACAAGCAGTAGCCTTCAGGACACCTCTCCCACGCCTACCTTCAGCCCCAGTTCTACTCCCCAGGGAATTCTGACCCGCCCCGGTACTGGGTGTCCCACCGCAACAGGTTCAGAACATTCACAGAAGACCAAGGTTTTATTTTTTCTAGAAGTATCAATTGGGAATTCAATATTCCACGTCTCAAAGATGCATTACATGTTTGTGATAAGAGAAGTCACCTACTGTGGAGGAACTTGGGTAAATTTTTTTTCCAAAAAAATGGTTCTGGGGCCTGCCTTTTGTTCATGCCCCTTGTGGGAGAGACAGGAGTGGACAAGTCTTTCCAGAAGGGCTGAACTTGCATTCAGCAGCCACTCAAAGGAGAAAGGTGTGCCCTTCTCGAGGACTCAGATAGTAAAGCAAGTACTGTTTTTAATGTCTCAGCAATGCACTTTAGAGGTACTTCGGTAGACTTGGAAGGGATGGAGAGAGAAACATTTGTGAATAGAAGGTTTTGAAGTGAGGCAGGATTGCTTCCAGTTTGGACCTACAAACCTGTACCATCCATTTTAATGTGGACTATTAAAATTGTTGCACTGTAAGACTTAAGGTGACTTTTGTATTTTTTCCATTCCAGAGCAGTAATTCATCATACTTAAAAGCAGGCATGCAAAGTCTGAGGTGACAGTTAATCATTTGCCATGCAACATAGCGGCCACTATTGAAAAGCTGCAGGGACTGGAACATTCTAGAAAACGAGACTGGAACTGGAACCAGCTAGGTAGATATTGCAATTCAGGATCCAGTCTGAGGGAGGGAGGGAGGGAGGTTGCAGTTCATTATTCTTAAATTCTCACTTTATTTTGGTACTTTCTCGTAGACTAAATCATAATGCTAAAATATAGCCTTTTCAGTATACACTGCTAATCTTACTAACAATTGGTTGAAAGTATAGACGAAGGAACTGTGCTTATTCAGTTTGTACAAAGCTGCCTTTCCCCCCTCTCTTGCTTCAAAGACCTCTTTAGAGTGAAGTCTGCATTTATCTAGTTTCAAAGGCTTTAGAGCTACCAACCTGAAGATTCTTAACAAGCATCCACCTGTTTGCTTTTATTATGACCTTCAAGAAAAAGAATAAATGAAAACCACTTTCTTTGATCAAATTACAAGGGAGTTATTGTAGTCAGTAAGAGGCACTGAGATCTTTTTCTGCTACAATTCATTTCATTTATCAAATTCAGAAATGCATAGCAAGGAAATAACATTGATCAAAAGTGTATCTTTTGATAATGATAAGCAAGAACTTAACTGAAGCTTTTCTGTATATATATATAGCTCAGTTTTGTATTTATCAAGCTAATAATTTATAAAATAGCAAAACATGCCAATTGCTTAAATAAATTTAGCAAAGTTTGAGGAAGATGGCTAAAACAAATTTAAATTTATGGCACAAGTTAGAGTACCAGCAGAATATTATAGTTCATTATTTGATACCCAAGTTTCCACATACCAAAGCCCTTATGCTAAAAGCAATTCTTTACTTCAGAATTGCAAACATCTTACATTAAAAGAGCAAGTACCTGGGAGGTTTTGTTTGTTTTGCCTTGTTATTATGTGCTTTTTGTTTCTAAGCATAAGAAGACTTTTTGGTTGTGTGTTTAGAACTGAAAGATTTGAGACAAAAGCCGCATTCAGATGAGATTCCGGGGTGAGAAAGACTTTACATTAATTACAAATGGGTTCCATATTCAAATGAAAAGGGAGTTGGGGACTTGGAGTGGACAAGAAGGTCATGGTACAGGAAGGAATTTGGGGCTGGGAGTGAGGGCAGCAGGTGTCATATAGGCTCTGAGATATTTCATCAAGTATTCTAACTTCACTCTGTAGAAAGCGATCAAAATTAGAGTAAGTCATTACACAAAATATTTTTCCCCTTCCAGAAAGACCAATAGAGTCAGACTGTATTCTTATATAAAATTAAGTTTACAATTGAATAATTTAAAAAACCTTAGGTTCTCTCATCTACCATTTTATTGTTTTAAAGAATTTTTTTCTTCAAAACTTCTCTGAATCCACAAAATACTAGTATTGCCCGGCCTACCATGTCTAGCTTTGGATCCCATCCAAGTCTCCAGCTGCTGTGGATATCCAATAGATGTACCGTAGTGAAACTTACTAGCACAACATTTTTGCCCTACTGTTGTGAAAGAAAACTGTGCTAATGGCACTTAGGACAGTGAATGCAATTCACAATCCACCATTGAGGTTTGTAATTACATCGTTTTAAAGCAGTCCTAAATTATGCAGTGGGAAGGGTACACTGATTTAATCCCAACTCAATGAAATCAGAAACCAGGCAAATTGGTGGACAATAAGATCATGAACAGGATAAGATAATTAGACAAAATGTCTTTCTGGGACTTAAATGTTTTACAGACAATTAATTACATTCCCATATGCTTACAGATTTTTAAAGCTTTTAAATCTTGAGAAAATTTATAGTAAGTAAATGGAAAATATTGCTGAATTAAGTTTTAAGTTCATTAGAGTTTTTTGTTTTCTTTCAACCCCTTACAAGTGAAATTTCACAAATTTGGAAACCATTAAAAATGTCAACACTGTGATCCTAAAAGGTATGAGAAAAAAAAAGGAGATGAAAATCTAGTAGTTTGTCTGCTGAATACCCTTGTAACTATGATAATCTTATACACACGGTAGTTTTTGTCTCAGGGACTCTTCTTGCAAAGTTTGTGGCTGAGCAGTAACTCATATTACAGGTCACCTGAATGTCCCTTTTGTGTTTACACTTCTGTTGTTCATCACACTGTGCCTTGCCTTTCAAAAGCACAAACTCAACTTTGCATATATATTTGGCGTGCTCTGGCTCAGCATTAGCAGCCTAAGCTGTGTTTTCTTCAAAACCTTATATGAATTCAGCAACTCTGGCCCTACCCAGTCTCTCCTAGAGAAATATAAAATAGTTATTTTCCTGAGATGCACAGAGGTATCTTTTGGTGACTTAAAATAAATGATTGAAAAAAATACGAGGAAAGAACTTCAAATGAAAGGGAAATCAGGAAGGAATATGTAGGTACTTTCTAATATCCAGTGACCACAAGGATCTTTTATGAAAACAAAGAAAATATTATTTCTTTCCTAACTGTGAAGAGTCAGCTAAGGTAGAAATCAACACACAAAATGTTAGCTAGATAGAGGAGGTAGACGACACTGGGTTTTTGAAGTCTATTTTATTCCTGGAGGATTTTATTATACCTATATAAAATTTAGCAGGTTCTTTCTTAGGTTAAGTACAAGTTTATTTCAATGGCAAATAGAAAATAGTACAGGGGGTATTTTATCTACTTGGACATCAACACACAGGTACCATACACTATGAACAAGCTTGGAGCACAGGGAAAACTTGGTTATTGATGGGCCGCTGGGCATCCTGTTTTGGTAATGTTCCTTGCACCTGTTTGCCTATTGTTCCTCTTTCCTCTGAAACCTCATACATGGATTCCTACAAGGCTCAGCACTGTTGGAGGGTAATGTGGAGACCTAGGGCTTTTGCCAGCTTCTGTTGGCCCAGCAGACACTTTGCCAACCCCTTTGTCAGAAGATGGCCATGCAGATGTAGAGCATGGGAAGCACAGCATTCATGAGGAGAAAAGATTATCGCAAGAGCTGGGATGTAAAGAAGGTACACACACTAGACCTTAGCAGGGGTTACTTGAGTGTTCCTGTAAAACAAACAGTAGCCACAGGCCGTGATAATGAAGACAGATGGAAGCATAGAAACAGTCTTTTCAGGTATGCAATGCAAAGAATTTGGTTGGATTGTGCTACTGCTGAAAAGATGGACTCAAAATCATCATTAAAAGTGGTGGTGGTGAGGGCTGGAAAGATGGCTCAGCAGATTAGGCTCCTGCTTATGCAAGCACAGGGACCAGGATTGGTTCCCCGACACCACATTCCACAAAGGCACCTGCCCCACCCCAGGGCTGGCTAAGTGGCCAACAAGACTGGGCCTGGTGACGCATGCGTGTAATCCCAGTGCTGGGGAGGCTGAAAACAGGAGGATCATGACAGGTCCGAGCTCTGTAGTGAGTGTTGCTCTATACCAAATTTATAAAAAGAGAGAGAGAAAAGTCAAAGGTGGTGGTATAACCTCATGCAATAATAAGAGGAGTGTCTTTCTCTCAGTGGTGTGGAACATCATCTTTTTACCTAATAGATAAAAACTGTAGCCCCACACTAGAAAGATTCAAGTGGAGCAGCCCAAGATCCTGGCACTGAGCAGATTACCTCCAGGGTAAGTAGGAAATAGGCTTCCTTCTGCCTTCCTCAAGGGAATTTCCTTTGAGGTATAAGCATTCTGGATCATGAATTTTTCTGTGCCCCATCAAGAAGATACCTCTTGAATCACTCCCTCCAAGGATGACAGCAGATAGCTCCCTCACTTTTCCAAGACATCGGTTCCAGTCCCCTCTCTGACTTGTTGGAGTGTTGTGGACAGGAGCATTTATTTACTCTTCACATAATGAGAGGATAAAGTTCTTATTCTAGCTGTCATATACTGTTAGTTTAAGCACTGGTTATAAAACTAAATTCATAAATGTTCATTCTTCACTTTAAAACAGAAGGTACCAGCTATCCAGCCCTAATCAGTAAGGTAGAGAGGTGGGAGGGAAGGCTGAGAAGTGCACATTGCGATGTAGGTGTTCCCAACCACAATGTGGCCATTTAGCACAACAGCTGCAGTGATCCTGTGACATAAAAATACTGGTCATGGGGATGGGGAGCTAGCTCAGCTGTCTAAGTGCCTGCCTGGCAAGCCCAAGGACCTGGGTTTGATCCCCCATACTGCATGCTATGCTGGCTCTGGAACCCTGAGTGTACTGTGATGCCACCAAAACCTGGTGGGTGGTACATGCCTGTAATCCCAGCGCTGGGGACGCTGAGACAGGAGGATCACTACAAGTCTGAGTTGCATAGCAAGACCCATACCAAATACATAAAAAATAAAAAAATAAGTTTTTAGGGCTGGGGAGATAGCTCAGTAGAATAAGTGCTTGCCTGGCAAGCACATGGTCCTGAGTTCAATCCCCAGTACTGAAAAAAAATTAAAAATATTGATCATACTCAGAATCAAATTTGAGAAATGATTTATTAGTATGTGATTATTAGTAGTAGCTTATTAATACAGAAAATATGTGCTTTAAAGCTGAAAGTGTAGCTTAGTGGTAGAGCAACAGTTTAGCATATGGGAAGCCCAAGGTTTGGGTTTCAGCCCTGTAAAAAATTTTCAAAAATAGTATGCTTTCACAAGTGTTATTTCATTTGTTCTCATAACTCATCCTCAAGGGTCCAAAATCCTGATAAATTATTTTCTGTCACCACTGATGGGGGCCCAGGTCAGGGACAGATTACTGTGAGGTACAGGGTCCTGCTGACAATCAATGCTTCTCCATCCTCTGTCCAAATCCCTGCAACATAAAGCCACACTCCTCCACAGTGCCTGCCACCTGTGCCCAGTCATTCTGTGTGATCGCCAGCTCCTAGTGTGGTGGTGTGCCTGGCCGTTTCTGCACACTGCTGTCCACCCCG